ACTCTCGTGAAACTTTCTATGCACTGCAGCCTGGAGAAGCCTTCTAACTCTCGGCAGCTTCACTGCTACAACTTCTTCTTCCTGGTTCCCGTTCCCCCCTGGCTCTTTACAGAGACCAGCTGCCCTCTCCAGAGTCTATTAATGAGGTTCAAGTGGCCTGAACCAGTTCCCTCTTGGGGCCCAGTCCACCCAGTGCCGTATATATACACAATAGCACATACACCAGCTTTCTCTATATAAATAGCTTTTTGTAAATTACTTTATTCTCTGTGCTGCCATACAAATTCTCTGTGCTGCCTAGTAGTCCAATGTATTTCAGTAGAGTTAAAAGTTATGTACCTATTAAATGCTTTCAAATATTATGCAATAGGGTTTTGTTACATTTTCATACAACGCATGTGCATCTATGCTTATACAGGAAAAAGTGCAGTTCCTTAAATTAGAGAGAAGAGAGAAGCATGGTCTAGTGATCCAATCAGGGGACTGGAATCCAGGAACTCAGTTCTTCTCTGTATCTGTTTCCCCATCTCTAAAAGTGATAGTAATTTGTACCTAAATAACTCACAGGGGTAAAGTCAGGATCTATTAGTTTGTGTTCCCGAAGTGCTTTGAAGATGTAAGATCAGTGACCACGTACAGCAAGGTATTTAAGCATGTACTTAAAGTGCCTGAGGACTGTTATTGCCATGTGCTCAAAGTTAAGTATTTGCATAAGAGCTTTCCTGGATCAGGGCCTATATAAATGCTAAATAATATCTGATAAACAATGGCTTAGTTGCTATGAAATAATCTGTTAAAGTAATGATGAACTTTGAGTAATCCAAGAATACACAATAATCTTAATTTTTTAATGTTTTAACATAAGCAACTGAAGTCTCAGTCTTGACATTACATTAATGCAAGTTTTAATACATAAGTGTATTAGATTTCATACACACCAGGTGTGGTTATTTGGATATGCATTTATGAAAAAATGCTCCTACAAATTCCCTACGACACACACCTTAGTGCATGTTACTGAATTTTTATGAGTTATGTACTGTGCATACTCTTAACATATATATATATATACACACACACACACACCTCATTCAAGATTACACAAAAAGTTTTATAAGTAGTTTTCATAGTTATCATGCAAAAGGAAATCTAGACCATTTTTTAGGTGGAAAAAAATCTTCTTGTGTGAAATCCTGACTCCACTGATGTCAATGGCCAAGCTACCATTGACTTCAATGAAACCAGCATTCCATTGTTTGCTTTGAGATGTTTTTTAAATAACTAAAAGTATTATAAAACACCATAACATGTTTTGTTTCTGCGCTTAATTTAAGCATGCAACTTTTCAGACAAAAAATTGAGATATTTTTAAGGGAATGAAAATAGGGGAGTTTAAATGAAAGTGTTACCTCAACTGTAGCTATAGACAAGGGTCTATGTACTCCAGGGGTCGGCAACCTTTCAGAAGTGGTGTGCTGAGTCTTCATTTATTCACTCTAATTTAAGGTTTCACGTGCCAGTAATACATTTTAACGTTTTTAGAAGGTCTCTTTCTATAAGTCTATAATATATAACTAAACTATTGTTGTATGTAAAGTAAATAAGGTTTTTAAAATGTTTAAGAAGCTTCATTTAAAATTAAATTAAAATGCAGAGCCCCCTGGACCGGTGGCCAGGACCCGGGTAGCGTGAAAGCCACTGAAAATCAGCTCACGTGCCGCCTTTGGCACGCGTGTCATAGGTTGCCTACCCCTGATGTACTCCATAGCAAACTTAACCCACATTCTATCGGAAAGTCCCTAGATTCTGTGGCAGTCTAGTAAAAATTGTCAACGTTTTATGGCAGTTTCAGATAGATTTTTTAAATGGCAGTTTTAACTGGATTAGAGATGAATATGAGAAATATACCCAATACAGTAGTTTATTTTTATACTAATTTAGTTTATTTTATGCTGTCTCACATTGTCAGTAGGCCACAAATTGTGATCTTTGGGTTATCAAATTCATGGGGGAGTTCACACTTCTCAGAATTATTGATTCATGTTGTCTGAAAACTCAGGAAGGCACCACTGCATTGGTTTGTACTCAGGTCACCTTTTGAAGGAATCTTCAGAACTATAAGGGCTAGACATTTTGATCACATTCCTGTGGCAAGCAGTGGATTTTGCAGCAAGTTCCACAGTATTAAGGAATATTTTAGCATTTCTGCAGCTTAGCATTTGCCTCAGGAAGTAGCAAACACAAACCTTCTCGGAAAGATCAACATTTACTAATAGAGTGGGGGCACTTCAGGCAAACATGGCTGATATCAGCCTGAAATATGCCACAGAATTGTACCACGTTTTAACATGGTTGTGAACAATTATGTTAAATGACATGATGCAGAGACCAGACATGATGCACAAACCAGTACAAATAGTGTTCAGCATCATGTCACCTAAAATGATTAAACGGTGGCCTAAGCTAGGTTTAATGACAATTAGCTCACATGATGCTGAATGTAATTTGTCCTCTACCTTCGCAAGGTCCCAGAGCTCAGGATCCAGCTCAAGCCCAAATATCTACACAGCAATTTTTCAGCCCCGGTGCTTGAGCGTCACAAGCCCAAGTCAGCTGTCCCAGGCCAGCTGTGTCATGGGGATTTTTATCCCCATGTAGACATACCCTGAGTGCCTTCCACGGTAAACAAGACTTGAAGGACAAGCAGAAAAGCACCCTCTTTTAATTTAAAGCAATTTGGTGGCCCATTCAGAATTGCAGTGAGAGCAAAGAACTTGCAAAATTCCTGTCGTGCTGCAAACCATTTGCTCTCAGGTCCTTTTTTTGGGCAGTCTCTTGCTGTTCTTCCTCAGTCCCTCTTCCTCACTAGACTCTTCTCACTTCTTCATTTTGTAAGCAATTCTTCCCACAAGTCTCTTCAATTACCCGTTGCGGCCAGCTGGCCTGTCCATTGGCAGCTATGACTACAGATCATGCCAAAGCTGCCTCTCAAATTCCCACCCCCCACTCAGGCTGTCACTTCAACTCCTTTTCCAGACACCCTGATTCTCCTGTCACTGTTCCAGCTCTCCCTTCTCAGACTGCTGCTCCCCACCAGCCTCTTTCTTCAAGATGGTCTCTCAGCTCCAATAGCCACCTGATTTTACTCTGAAAAAAGAAACCTTAAAGGAATTAGCTAGGCTCCCTCCACCCACAAGATTATTATTTTTATAACTGGAGACCTTCTCTAATCCAAAAACCCAATAATTCTCCCCAAAGCCCCCCATCATCACATAACCACCTGCAGCAAAAATAGCAGAGAACCCTAGTGAAGTCTCTTTTAATTACTTTTACAAAGCAACTAGTTACAAAGACGACTAGATAAACAATAGGTTGAGTAATCTGTTTGAATAACCTGGTTTAGAGACAAGCATACAAAATCAAAGAGAAATCTGTGGCTTCCCTCTCAATCCATTAAAGCTAGGTTGATCCAATAAGATATTTAAGGAATGGAGGGCAAAGAGCATTGTAAATGTAGCAAGTACCTTTGGAATTTTGGACTGTGCTCCTTTGAAAAAGCTATAAACAAAGTTCACACCAGGTTCCCACCCACCCACATTTACAACTCCAGTGTCCCTTGGAATTGGGTACATAGGAACAAAATCACTTTTTACTTATCTTATCTCTGAGAAGATATCAGAGAATTACTAGAAGACTTAAGTTGGCTACATACAAAGAAACACTGTAGGAAGAATAGCTACTGGCACACCTACCCCACTTTGCAGGGTCCTAGAGTCCAAGCCCAAACATCTGTACTGCAATTAAACAGTCCCTTAGCCTGAGCCCCACGCGTCCAAGTCAGCTGGCACGGGCCAGCCACAGGTTTTTAATTGCAGTGTGATCATACCCAGTGTGTCACAGCTAAAAAAAAGAAGGAACAGATTGTTTAGCATAAGTAGTTAACACACATTTTGACACACATTCAACATGAAGTGGCCCATGAAGATTCATGTTTTTAAATCTTACAAAATCAGTTCAGCCCTCTTGCCAATGTATGGCCCTGCATAAGTGAGAGATTACTAGTTACTATTACTGTCTGAATATACACATGCTTAAATAATAATAATAATTATTATTTTTTGGTATTTTGACAACTGACACATTAATTTTAAATTCCAACCTTGCCTGGGTCTCTGTTCTCACTGAAAGGGAGGCGCTTTAGGTCTGTCTGAAGAACTGTGGTTCACAAAGTGACTGAATGAAAATGAGACATTGGCCATGAAAGCGAGAAGGTGGAAGCCTCGGCCTTGAATGGACTTGTTCTGCAAGAGCAGTGATTCCCAAACTATTGTCTGTAGAGAGCCTGCTCAGCATGTGTGGTGCTGTTTGATTGAATATGACCATTTTTATCATTGTTTCTACAACTGTTATGCAATTGCAACTAACCTTGTACAAAGTATATCACAAGGTGTCAATGGAAAAGTTATGATTTGCTAAGTATGATTATCCTGTTTATATGCATGTATCATCTTTGTATCGGAAGTTATGAATATTGGCTATGTACAGGTATCTTATACATGTGTTGTATTCCTGGGTAACCCCCAGCAGATAGAATTGACATTGGTGCAAGACAGCTATGTATTGCTGGCCCATCAAGGACACTAAACTCTCACAATGGCCCATAGAAGAAACTCATCCTGCCCAGAGCACTCTTCCTGTGCACACCTCAATCTCTGGGGGGGAGGGAGGGGGGGGCGGGGGGGGGGGAGGGGAGGCAATGGCCAATTGTGTTATCAAAGCATGTAAGGACATCTGACATGCCGGGGAGCCCTTGCTACACCATCGCTCCCACCTGGTAGTGAGCCAAAGCGCTTTGGAAGCATGGCCTTGAGCCCACCCTGCAATAAGCCTGATTCCCGCACCCCATCACCAACTAGAGGGCGGCAGGATCCTCCTGCATGCAGATCTCCCCACCCCCACCCCACCGCCACATCCCTGCCTCTCTAGCCCCCTGCCCGGGTGTGGCTCTTGCGCCTTGTCACAGCTGTCTCGCCCTGTCCCCCACTGCGGTAATCTCCGCCCGAGCGCACGGGGCCGGCCTTGGACAACCGGAGGGGAGGGCCAGGGGCGGAGCAGGCTGGGCAGCCGCAAGAAGAGGAAGCGCCGCTGCTGCTGGGGCGGCCCCGGAACGTTCCGCTGGCTGCAGCAGATTCGGCACCGTCTGGATCCCGGAGAAGCAGCAGGACGGAGTCAGCTGCCGGGCTCCTTCCCCCCGAGCTCCCCTAGGGTGTATGCGCCGCTTCCCAGCCCTGCATCGCCGGGCGCTTCCCCCTCCCCGTGTGTGTGCCGCATCCCGCCGTCCGGAGCTGCCTTTGCTGCTATGAGGCTGCTGGAGACCGATCTGCAGGTCCTGACCCGGGAGCTGTCCCTGTACCTGGAGATCCAGGTGCCGGCGGGGCTCTTCGGTTCCGGTGTGGGCTTGTCCCTGGTGCTGGGCTTCAGCGCCGCCTTCGCCTGCTATTACCTCAGTAGCATCGCCAAGGTGAGTGGAGACAGGCGGTAGGATGGTTCTGGGGGTAGAGAACAGACGATGCTCTGACAGCGTTACACTAGGGTCACCGTCAGGTTAAAACGCTTTTTAGAAAAGGCAAATGTCTTCGGCTCTGATACAAACCGCCACTAGCTCGCTAAAGCCGAGAGGAGTTTGCAAACCGCAGACACTTCAGCACTCGCCCCCTTTCCTCGCGTCTGAAGTTTCTTTCACCTTTGGACAAATAAAAGCAAAGCCGCGCTGATTTCACTTTCTAGGCGGCTTCCAGTCAATGTCACTGTCGCCTGCGCTAGAAGGGTGCTCCTTTGTTTGGGTTGCACACACTGCCGGGGGAATGCTCATTTGTTTACACATACTGATGTACGGGGTTTTTAGTTTTATTAAGTCTATTTTTTCATATCCAATTTTTCTGGGGGTGAGCAGGGGGATGGTGAGAAAATTGTCCTGACAGCACCTTTTTGTCAGTTTCAGTAGGCAGACTTTGGGTACAAGGAGTGTTGGAAGGAGAAATTAAGAAAATTCTCCCCCTTCTAAACCATCTGTTGTCTGGCTCTAAACATTTACTAACATTGTGCCAAAGAAAGTAATTTATCTTTCTCCTCTGTACAATTTTTCTGTTCCCTGCATTGTCATTAGCTACATATACATACTTTGATATGAAGCTCAGATACTTCTATGTTTCCCTCCCTGTATTTCACAAATAATTAATCCTGAAGGGGTTCACTCACCACAGGTGCACCTCCTTGTGGCTGGGTCTGGTTTTTATTTTTTTACCCCATCTGGCACTTCTATTGGTCAGCCCTCTGTCTGAATTGGGGTGCTCCCTTTTAAATCAGCCTTCTGACCAGGTCACTTTATAGTCCCCTACCCCCGTTTCCAGGGTAACACAGTCACACCAGACAAGCTGTCATAGGGTCTTCCATTGCACCTCTAGGTCCTGCACCATTTCCCAGTGGCTAGTAGGGGAAGCCAGGCCCTCCTGCTAATCCAGTCCAGGGACCCTCTGACTAGCAATCCAGACCTGCTCAGTCTCAGTTGTTGTTTCCCTCCTCTTTCCTACCCCACCTCTGTATCCCCTTGCCTGTCTCTGGGTTTATCAGCAGAGCTTCCCTGTGGCTACTTCACCCCCTCTAGACTTCTTGTGAGACTGCCTAGTCCAGGACGGGACCCCAGGGCTTACTCTCCCGCCAGCTCTGCTCCTTGCCCCTGGCTAACTCCCTTTCCTTCTAGTGGTTCCCAAACTGGGGTTCATGAAATGTTATCAGGGGTCCTCAGAAAAAAAATCTGTAATGGCGGACAGAGCCATCCCTAGGGACCCCAGGCGCCGGGGCCGGCAGCCCGAGCCCCGTGACCATGATTTCCTGGCAGAACAAGTTTAAGCTTTGTTGTAGTCGTGCATTGTTTGCCTGGACTGCTCAAGACCCAAATGCTTGTGGGAGGAACTCTTTATTTGCATTGGCTTCTTAAATACCTTCATGCTGTTTCACGTCTGGTACTCCTTGATGAAACATGTAGGAGGCTTAATCAAAGTGATATGGGCTACAGAAGTGAAATCTTGGAAGAGTGTTGCCATTTTCATAATGTAATAAAATTATGAATGTAATGATAAATAATAATGTAATAATAAATAGTGTGTAATAAGTGTGTCATAAAAAAACAAATTATTTCCAAGATCACTGCTTCTATAATTTATACTCAGGTAAGGGAGAAAATCCCTGGAAATATTAATTTTAGGAGGAGGTTCACGAGATCTGATATTTTCATGAAAGGGGGTCACAAGCAGGGCCGGCTCCAGGTTTTCTGCCCCCCCAAGCGGAAAAAAAAAAAGCCGCGGCAGCACGATCGCACCGCTCCACTCTTCGGCGGCAATTCTGTGGCAGGTCCTTCGCTCTAAGGGACTGAGGGACCTGCTTTTGAATTGCTGCCGAAGACCCAGACATGCCACCCCAAAAGCGGCCAGCGTGCTGCCCCTTGGTATTGGCCAAGCAGGGCCGGCTCCAGGCACCAGCCAACCAAGCACGTGCTTGAGGCAGCACCTTGTAAGGGGCAGCCAATCTTGGGGTAGCGGGGGGCGCTCCGGGTTTTTTTGTTGTTGTTGTTTTTGTTTTGGCCGGGCGGTGCTCGGAGGGGAGGGTGTTGTTTGTGTTTCAGTGGCGTGGCATGGCGCTGGGGGGGGTGTTTTGGCGGCATGGCGCTGGGGGGGGGTGTGTTTCGGCAGCCTGGCGCTCGGGGGGGTGTTTCAGCGGTGCGGCGTTGGGGGGGGTATTTTGGTGGCGCGGCACTGGGGGGGTGTGTTTCGGTGGGGCGGGGTGGCACTGGGGGGGGGGGGTTTCAGCGACGCGGCGCTGGGTGGGGGTGTTTTCGGCGGGGCAGAGCGGCGCTGGGGGGGGTTACAGCGGGACAGTGCTCTTTTTTTTTTGCTTGCGGCGGCAAAAAAGTTAGAGCCGGCCCTGGTCACAAGTTGTTAAAGTTTGGGAACCACTGCTCTAGAAAGTGACTACAGACCTCCTCCCTACAGCCCCTTTCTGCTCTCACTTCCTGGCTTTATACTATTAGCCCAGCTTGGCCCCCAGCTGGGCTTTGTCTGCTATTAGGCCCTATCAGGGCCGGCTCTGGCTTTCTGGCCGCCCCAAGCAAAAAAAAAAACAAAAAAACCCGGCGGCAAGAATAGCAAAGCAAAAAAAAAAACAACCTGCAGCGCGGCTGGAGCCAGGGTGCAGGGGGACTCCCTGCCCTGCAGATGTGCCCTGGCTAGCAGGGGAGCAGGAGGAGAGAGAGAAGGGGGGTGGCCAGGGCTTCAGCGGGGCGCTGCCACGTGGCCCCTCCCGCCGTGCCCCCTGCCGGGAGCTCCGGTCGGCTGGGAGGGAAGGACGCGGGCTGCCCTGCCGGGCTTGCTGCAGGGCATTCCCGTCCTCCATGCCACTGCCCCCTACAGGGCGGCTGGAGTGGTACAACAAAAAAAACAAAAAAACAAAACAAAAAAGCGGCCGTGCGGCCCTAGGATTGGGCGGAATGCCGCCTCCTACAAGCTGCCACCCCAAGCAGCAGCTTGCTCGGCTGGTGCTTGGAGCCGGCCCTGGGCCCTATCAAGCCCAGATTCCTCTCCAGATACAGCATCTAAGGTTAATTGACCTCACCAGTCCCACATTAACATGGTCAGGGCTTGTGTGGGGTGGACCCCACATCACAGACTCAAATAATTTGGTTGCAATGAGCCAGATCCTCATCTGGTGTAATTTACATCAGATAAGGATTTGGCCTGATGTTTCATCTGTTGAGAAAGTACAGGAAACAGTGTATATGATTACTGGGAATATACACAGAGGCTTTTCCACCAAAGGAAGGATGGCCTTCTGGTTAAGGCAAAAGACTGGGTGCCAGGAGAATTTGGTCCTATTGCTGGCTGGGCTTTAGGCTGTGTCTAGCATTTTTCTTCAAATTTCCCACTGTTGCACTACTGCTGAGCAGCTAGAGAGGACTAAGTAACATCAGGTTTAAAATACTAGCAACTTGTCAACTACAGACAAACTTCCTGTACAAAGGGTGTGTTGATTAAGCTTTGTGTTTCTTTATTTCCCCATCTGTGAAATGCGGATAATAATATCTGCCTATTACACAAGCTTGTTTTGAGACATAGGTCATATTTGCTAAGTGCTTTCCATCTTTTGATGGAGGGCATTGTGCCAGTGTACACTATTTTTCATGAGAGTATAAGTACTATAATAACCTGTTTTAGAAACATCTCATGAATGCATAATGTTTAGAATCAATAGTGTTGTTCTTTGTTTTTTGCTGGTGCTTTTCGATGTACTTATGTTTTTAAAATGAAAGCAAACATTAATTACAAAAATAAATCAGCTCATTGGTAGAGAATGAAACAGCCTTGCCTGAGTTTTGTTCATGGATGCTGCATACCTGACTGTGGTCTCTCTCCCTAGAAACCTCAGTTGGTGACTGGCAGTGAGAGCTTCAGCCGCTTTCTCCAAGAACATTGTCCTGTAGTGACAGAAACTTACTACCCCACAGTATGGTGCTGGGAGGGCCGGGTGCAGACCCTCTTGCGTCCCTTCATCACCTCAAGATCCCCAGTGCAGTACAGGAAGTGAGTGCCTCTGTCTTGCAAGTTACTATTTTTTCTGCAGCCACATTGTCATTAATGCTGATAGTATTTCATGTAACTACTAATTTAGGAACCACCAGAACTCAGATACCACAGTAACGCTTGTGGTATAATAACCTAGATAGATCTATATGTTTTAGTTTGTGTATACCATACCATGGGGGAGGGAGGGAGGGAGCATACCGTTACTAATTTTCCCAGCTCAAAAACTGCTCCTTTAGTATTCCTTTTAACTCCCCACCAGAGCCAAATTCAGCTCTTTGGTAAGTATGTACAACTCTTCTGAGTTCCAGGAATAAATCTTGCCCCCAGGTTTATCCTTTGTTCTTGGATGCTTGAGTTACGACATGAATAGGTATTTATATTTATTGCTCCTTCTCTAATAATCTCCCTTACACACACATGGGGCTCAATCTTCAGGTCCTTCAAAGCTGCATTTGGCACAGGCCCCGAGGGTGAGGGAAAAGTGGTTTTATGTAACCTTTACAGCTCCCCTGAACCTGGGCCCACTGGCAGATGCTACTTCAGCCCCTTGTGCAACGTAGAATAGCTTCAGCATGCAATAGCTCCTAAATGGGTATTCAAAGGACAGCTAGGATGGCTGGAGCACGGCACTGCTTTGGCCAGGCCCCCTTTCCTTGCCCAACAACATTTCCTCTATTTCCGGGTCTGTGTGGAAGGTGGCATAGATCTGGGAACACTGACTTTGTGCCACTCGAGCTTTGCCTCATGCAAGAAGAATCCTCACCGGCCATTTAGAGCAACTTTAAGTCTGCTTCTCATTGCTGAAGCAGTGCAAAGCAGACTTAGCAGGGCCCAGGATCTGGCTTATTCACTTTAAAATATGTGATTCAGCAAGTGCTACTAGTGTTGTACTTGTACTGCTGAGGAAAGAAAAATTATATGCAAGACAGGCCTCATTATGGTAATTCATAGAGCATATGAGTGTTTGTTCACTTTCTTCATCAGAAAGTTGCTAGATGACAGGGAAAATACAGTATGCTTATAAAACTGACTCAAAACTTGATCTGATGGTTTAAGCCTTGCTTGGTTTCTTGGCATATTATCAAGTTTGTTGCAGTCTTAACTCGGATGAGTTTTAAAAGTACTAACTAGCAAAATTTGTAGACATAGGGCAGGGGTTCTCAACCTGTGGCCCGTGTGTTGCTTACAGCCCAATCAGCACAGAGCTGTGGCTCATGTGACATCCTCAGGGCCATTCAGGTAGTATTGGATGCAGCCCACATAACACATATGTGGCCCACAATGGTAAAGAGGTTGAGAACCACTGACATAGGGTGACATCCTGGCCTCATTTAAGCAACGTGTGTTTGTGTCAATAAAACATACACACACACACACACACACACACACACACACACACACACACACACACACAAAACCTCCTTAACTTACCAAAACGAAACCCACTGCATACATTTCTCCCCCAAGGAGATGATGAGAGAAAAAAAACATGTGACAGAAGTTAGTCACATCGCTTAATGTCCTACTGGATGGCATTCGTACTACAGTGATGAGCATGTTATTAGAATCTCTTTAGAAGGCAATGGCAAAGCTCCCATTGACTTCAATGGGACCAGGATTTCACCAGTAATTCACAAAGGACTAGATCCTCAGCTGGTGGAAATCAGCATAGCTCCGCAGAGGAAATATACTGACTTACACTAGCTGAAGGTCTGGCCCTTAATGAATTATAATTACCCACGAATTTTGCTATCCAATACTTTTAATACTAAAATAAGATTAAGGATATAAATTCCACAGGTAATATTTTCTGAACTGTAAATACTTTTCATGGTACATTTAAAAAAAACCCTAATCAGTATTGTCTCTTGAACTGTTCCTTTCAGTGAGCTTATTAAAACACCAGATGGAGGACAGATTTCACTGGATTGGTTTGATAATAATGACAGCATATGTTTTCCGGATGCCAGCACAAGACCCACTATCCTATTACTGCCTGGCCTCACAGGAACAAGCAAGGAATCCTACATTCTTCACATGATCCAACAGAGTGAAATGCTGGGATATAGGTACTCCTAACTTTAGCGTTTTGCTTGTTCAACTAAAATTGTATGTATGTGTGTGTATATAAGATGTCTACTAGAGCAACTGATATCTACAGAAATCAATTACATAGGATAATATTTGATAATAAATAATAATTGTATAGACTAGAGCACTGTATGGGCCTATTTCTCTACTGCCCTCCACCTTGTGCAAAGTGTATGCAAAATGCAAGATGTCAGAGCAGCAGCTTTTGGACATACTTTGCTCAGGTGTAAATTACCACACAAGGTGTAAGGGAATGAAAATGATTCCCTAAATTCTTTATAAATGTGTGTCTTTGTAACCTTTTCTCTGTTCCTTCAAGAGGAGGGCTGTTGTGTTGAGCGCCAAACAGGTGAATGTGGAGGGGACTGTTGGGGGCTGACTAGGGGGGAGGGATAGCTCAGTGGTTTGAGCATTGGCCTGCTAAACCTAGGGTTATGAGTTCAATCCTTGAGGAGGCCACTTGAGGGGGCAAAATCAGTACTTGGTCCTGCTAGTGAAGGCAGGGGGCTGGACTTGATGACCTTTCAGGTTTCCTTCCAGCTCTATGAGATAGGTCTCTCTCTCTCTCTCTCTCTCTCTCTCTATATATATATATATATATATATATAGTACGTACGTCGTC